CGATCTCATCTTCAGATACAGCCTATAGCCTCCGTTTACACTGCCTTTAGCCCCTCCCGTACATAGGACCAGCAGTAAAAACAAGCATTCAGTCTCATTTCTGACAGCCCGTTAATGGCTGCCTCGCAGACTGCGGATTAGTGTTTGGGGACGCTTTTAAATGTTCGACCCAGCATTCCTGAACCTACAGTTTGTCTAACAGAATGGTTGTACTGCTTGTGCTATTCTGCTGCACAGTCTCTCGGGTTGAGGGCCATAGACGGTTTTTATGACCGCACCAACGCCCGTGCATCCCCGGATCTCGTCTGTCACGCAGTTCTTTCACTCTTTTTGTGTCTTTTCCATCCTTTACTGTGGTGGACATGGGCATCTGAAAAACGCAGCTTTGTTTACTTCGGTTCTGCTGTTTGTTCGACTTGTTTTTAGGTGCAAGAGCCACTGGACTTCGTTGTTTTCACAAAACCATTTCCTGTGCTGCTTTCGTTTGCCCTCGAGGACTCCCGAAATAGCGGTACGAAAGCTGTCAAACAGCTTCTCCCACTCGTTCACCGTATCCACCTTTTCAGACCTACCATACATTTCAGTCTACTGTTCAAATGTTTGATCAACTCTTCGTGCGCGTCCAGGCATATCCAGTAGTAGACTGTTTAAGTTACGTGCTGTTGCCCGCCCACCTTGCGGTTTCCTGGGATTGGAGTTATAGCCTCAACTTTGAGAGGACCAGGCGGCAGTTCGTTTGCAGCGTTTCCACCCCACCGGCCATTTTGTCAGCAAATCACGTTCGTTTCGTTCCTTCATGCGGGTGCATTAGCGCTGTCTTCTATCTGCCTGAATGGCGGACCAGTGTGGTTTAGTGAGGCGAAGATTGTGTTCTGCACAGGTGTGTGTAGGGAGTTTGCTACTGTTGTAGCTACCCTCCCCCCAATTACAAACTAGCACCCAATGGGGCCACTGAAGTCAGTACGTGTAATTATTCAGCCCTCCCGAAACACAGTCTCTAGGAGGGCATTGTAGTTGTCCTGCGCTTTGTCGGGGCTGGCAATGTTGGGGGTTCTAGAGTTTCTCTGCGACAAGGCGGAACAATGTCTGGCGATGTTTTTTTTGCTGACGCACACGACTCCAACATTCGGTCGCCCCTTGCCTCCGAACGCCTTTTTAATTCAGTTGTCTATGCTCGGAGAAGCAGGTCTTAATGCGAGTTTGGAGGGCCACCTTG